GTAATAGTAGTAGTCAATATCAGTAGTCAGTAGTCAGTAGTCACTAGTAGGAGTAGAAGGAGTAGTAGTAGTAGTAGTAGTAGTAGTAGTAGTAGTAGTGGTAGTGGTAGTGGTAGTGTAGTAGTAGTAGTAGTAGTAGTAGTAGTAGTAATAGTAGTAGTAGTAGTAGCAGTAGCAGTAGCAGTAGCAGTAGCAGTAGTAGTCGTCGTGGTGGTGGTGCTGCTGCTGGTGTTTAGTAGCTAGTAGTTAGTAGTAACATCCCAAAGTCAAAGCCCCAAACACGTCCGAAAGCCTGCACAATGCTCAGGACGGTACGGACTGCATCTTGAGACTTGAGACTCCATACCAGTACCAGTACAACTATGCTGGTCTTGTGCTCGCAACAACAGAACCCAGTTCGGCAGACCTTTGCGCACTTCACCAGAGTTGTTCATTTCAAAACTGGACGTGAACGGATGTCCCCAAACACACCCCTCTCCCCATGCCTTGACTGGGCCCAGAAACTCCTCAACGACATGAATGACCTGCACACTGGTTCCATGGATGTCACAAATCCTGTATGGGCTGGCAGAAGCTGCTTATAACAACTGACACAGCTCGAATCAACATTGTGATACCACGTGCTCAACCATTACAGGAAACGGTGCAGAGGAGTGTGGAGTTGGAACTAGACCAAACTAACGCACTGCACAATGCACGCCTCCGCCAGGAAACTCACCGCTTGAAGCATTCTGCATTCATGCTTGGGATTCAGGAAAGGGCCTTAAAATTCTTCCGAGATCAATCATGGAAGGCTGCGGCCTGCAGAAGCGATTCACTGACGCGGAGCAGCCGCTCTCGCAAGGCTCGAGATCTTGCAATCGCAGCCTAAGCACGGGAACCGTCCTAGCAGCACTAGACGGCAAGCGCCCTACAAGCGGGGTGCTCTTCAGAACGAAGCAGCATGGTTCATGCTTCTGGCTGCATTCGGAGAGGCGTAGAAGCATGTCAGACTAAGAAAGAGACTCATGATCAGTGCTCGGATCAGGAGCCCGGGTCATGCAAGATGACCCTTCACACAGAAACCGGTGCTTCGGCTCTCGATGCCGCGAAGCTCCACCCCTTGAAGACCGGGGTCAAGCTGCAAAGGCTTCAGTAACAGTCCGGCCGCTGTAGCACACGCAACAAATCCGCAACACACTAACCGAATCAGCTCGGTGGTCGAAGCTGCTATCGCAATCCGATCGCATTCCAAAACACTGTTGGCTCAGGTTTCTCAGTTGTCGACCGTGCAGCTGAGAACGAAGCCATGTACCTGCAACAAACTCTGCCAGCAAAGCAAGCTTTCTGAATGCAAGGATGGGTTGCCGGTGTTCAATTCAGCACCCGAGCGCTTCGAGTTCAAAGTTTAGCAAGCACGACCCTCTCCATTTCAGGATCTCCAGGATTCTGGTTCAGGGCGTATGCTTCGAAATAAAGCCGAGGATTCAGAAGCGACAGGCATCTGCATTCCTTCATTTGCTTCACAAGATCCCAGACACAAGGCACAAATTCCATGCTGAACTCTGGATTCGTTTCACTCGCACACACAGCCATCAGCTCTGAATGTGCGTGCATGCTCCAGTGTTGCCGATACCTCTACATATTAGATGTCGGTGCCATCTCATAGTTGACGCCATCTCAGAGGACTTCGCAACACATGTCGCCATGAAACCCGCGCAGCCCCCAAACAATTCCACATCGCGTGAGCAAGTTGGCCAACGGCACAAGGTCGACGAAGTCGCCCATTGCCGGGACATGACCTGAAAGTTGAAATTGACAACAAAGTCATTAGATCGTTGCCCCTTCAGTAGTAGCCGGTTCAGACGCACAAACAGCCAAGGTCAGCGATGTAATGGCCGCGGGTGTTCTACAGCTGAGCCCCCAGAACGATTTCGATTTGTGCCGCCTCCACTCATCGACCCCTTTGCATTCACGTTCATTTCCATATATATATATATATGTATATACACACACACGATATATATATATATATATATGTACACACATTATATACGTATTATATATATATATATATGTATGTACACGCTTACATTACAGACAGTCTACAGGTTCAGCTGTTCGGGTGTCTTGAGTCGCGGCGTCCCAGAATTAAGATGCGATGCGCGACGAAGCGCAGAATCATGTGCTGTAGTTGTAACAATTGACGTGGTAGCTGTATTTGCCATACTGCTGCTCAACAGGCTGCTGCTCTAGACTCTAGATGCTCCCCGAGGTACTTTGACCCTCCAACATGTACTCTCTCTCGAACGGGTCCCAGTCAACGGCGGGGCACTCATTTGTTATTGTTTGTGCAAGACCTACTGATGGACGGACGGCCAAGTTTGGAAGAGTAGCTTCAAGAAGCTTTAAGGTATGACTCGCACGGAGTGTGCTGGAGTTATGCAAGACAAAGAAACGCAGCGACGGACAGAGAGAGACAAAACGCCTGCTTGCATGCCTGAAGGACTGAAGGCCTGAAGGGGGTGGAGTTCATGACAATAAGCCTTGTTACAGCCTCACAAGCCAGGGATGTGGTCTAGGTTCATCATCATCACCTCTGAGGAGCCAACCAGTCGCAACCTGCACGTGTACATACAGGGCAACGAGAACGGCAACTTTGAGCGAATGCAAAGCTTGATCATAGCAAGATTGAACTGCAAAGGTGTGGGTACCAGAGATCGGGTCTTGAGTCTTGACAGAACAGAAGCCTCGCAATTGACATTTTGGTCTGTAAGTTGTTGTGGTCGAGTCTATGGGTATCTCAGAACTCCGGACTTGCCCTGAGCTCTGAAGCAATGTCAAAACACAACTTTGCCAGTAGAATCTGCCGTGGCAGCAATGCCATGGGTCAGAAGACGTCTGTGTGGCAAGTGAGATGTTGACAAGACCACAGCATCATGCCACGGCGGCGCTCGTGCGGGCAGTCTGTGACGAGTTTGTCGGAAAACGTTTCAGAATGTGTCCGAACCTCCTGCGTTTCCTGACCCTCCACCTGCACTTAAGCGGACAAAAGGGAAACATAAACAATGCTTTAAAACACTTGACATCCCAGGCTAAGACTGTGCAATAACCTTCATCTTACAGGATGACGACACGAAGTATCATACGCAGCGCGCACCTTCGGCACCAGCTCGTAGATGCCGGGAAGCCCGTCCAAAGCCGAGCAAATGTTCATGCAGAAGGGCTCCTAAGCGCTGGGGATGGGGTTGCACATGTCGTGTAGACTTGAACGGGCTACATAGATGTTTGCGGCGTATTGCTACTTGTTTATAGACTTGCTGGACTGCCGTAAATGCAGGTTCTCGAATCTGTGGAGCTGGCGTTGTCGGAAGATGCAAGACATAGGAGACAACCCAACACCATCGACACGTGCTTGTTGTCAGAACTGCATCAAGCCGCATGGCAAACTGTACACGTTGAAGAGGCAAGGTATACGAAGGCCAGCAGGCCGTCTACAGGTGGTTCGACTCGGGTGCTCAGTCTCAGGGTCAGGCCTAGACTTTGCCAAGTGTTCCTCCAAAAGAGCCGCCTGACCACTATGTTTTGGCCTCGGGACGTCCTGCCTTGCTCGTGCTTGTGCCAGAGTACGTACACTCAGGATGCCAACGATAGTCAGTGATGGTAGTCTCGGATAGAAAAACGTAGTTCAGTGAACGAACTCACAACTGTTGCACAAACAAACTGAGCCTCAACCTCCACACTGAGCTCAGACTAGAACATTCTCAGGCATCCTGTGTCTGAGTGGATATGAACATATATGAACCGCATATGCGCGGGTGTGTGTGTGCATGTGTGACTGTAGTGTGACCACAACGCAATAGCATGATGCCTCCTCCCAGCATTCTGTCGGACTGCGTCGGGGAAAGCGTCAACAGTGTACTGGTCGATGCAGCAGTAGCAGTCGTTCCGATGCATTGGCATAATGAAGCAGATGAAGCCGGGCCTTCTGTTGAACCCGGCTACGCATCAAAACTGTTCGTGGCCCAGGCGCATTCCCGTGCACGAAGTCGCTCTGCTCCTTGCAAGCGGAGACCGCCTTTGCCACCCTGAAAGCAGATGCACAGATGCGCTTGCCAAGAGGAGCCGGAGTAGGGCGCTGCAGCGGTACCCGCACCCTCCCCGTCCCCCGCCCCAGGTTCGCCGCCCAGTCTTGAATCTGGAAATTGGCCAAACATACCATCGGGTTGCCGGACCTTCCACTTTTACTGTGGAATATTACCTCACGAATGCTAGCGTTGCCCAAACTGCAATGAGCTTGAACTGAAAATTGAGTGTGATGTACCTTGAAGCTTCGAGCAGCCAGCACGAATACTTCATGGCGCTCATCAGCCAAGGAGCTGCAGAGTGCTGAAGTTGGAGTCCTTGTGCGACATGTCGCGGTCAATACCTGCCAGTCTGCCAGTGTTGCAGGATTTCGGATCACCCTGTCGTCCACTGCTGTGGCATTAAAGTCACCGGTTGTCGGGGTCTGTTGAAAGTGCTGCAATGCAACAAATGTGATGTTTAGGGACGGGTACTGGTTATATCATTGCAGGAATAAAAGCGAAGCAAAATAAAGTGAGTGATGGTCGCACAGCTGGATAGCTTGCACGGCGGCGATTTCTCGGCAGATTCTGTCAGAAGACCTAAACTGCAAAGACCCCCCCGAACAGAAGACACGAAACGAGCAATGCGACCTCGACAAAGCTTCAGTCAAGCCTGCATGTCGACGTTTTTTATTCCCAATTTTCGTGCCTGTCATCATGGATGCCACACCGATCAACGCCTCCTCAGACACAGTCTTGTCAACTTCGCAAGCGCGCACATGACCCTGATTGACCCTTCGATGCTCAGCGGAGAACCAAAGCTCCACATTGCGCTTGAACACAAGGTCACTGCACGTATCGCTCGTTGACTTGTCGCACTAATGCAATTCGGGCAGGCTGTTCGGATCTAGAGGAAGACGAGTCTACAAAACATGCCAGTGGCCGGCTTGCAGAGTTACTGCTTCAATGCTAAATTTCGGAAGTCTACGGTAAGATAATTACGACTGCAACAAAGTCGCTGGGCATGGCGCCGATATCACTGACCACCACGCAGTACTGAAACAATGCCAAGATCCAGAAAGCAATTATCCCATCTGCCCGATGCACAATTGAAGCAAGTCTGACTCCTCTACCAGTGGCGCATAGCAATCGACGTGGACGCAGTTCAGGTACCCTGCAGAAGCATAAAGGGATTTGAGGCTAAAGACTTCTCCCAGGGACACTGCAAGTGCATGACCACACGGCAAGACATGAGAATGAAGAGTGGTCACTTCACTGCTTTGCAGGACGATCCGGTCACTTAGATTCAAAACTTGCAACGGAATTCATCGAGGACACATCTACAGTCCTTACAATCCTTACAACTTCTATTCATCCTAAACCCAGACGTGCTGGAACTCCGTCCCACCTGATAAATGTGTCTCTCCTCTTGATGGCCCACAAAGAACCGGATTATGCCGGACTGAAACAAGTGCTTACTTACTAAGGTTATCTTTGCTAAGTGTCTGGATTCAAGCACGGCGCTTCTTCAGACTGGATCACATGAGACGCTCGCGTTGGTTCAGGCAAAATCCGACAGAAAGCTCACAATCTGCAAGATGCGCACGCCTGGACGCGAAACGGCCCAGTCCGTGTCCTGCGCTACGAGCCTGGCACGGGAGGACTGACCGTCATGAATTCGGCTTGCTGCAGCTTTCACCTCCAAATCCAGGAAATCGGGAGCTCACCCCAAGAGGAGGTTCTGATGTTCTGCACCATATATACATCCAAGCACCGGAGCAAAGAAACCGTTCCAGAACTCCTGGGCCCTCGAAGCCCCGTCCGCAGCTAGAACTAGATAACGAGATTTCAAGGTAGCGAAGACGAGGCCCTTGAAGCTCCGAAACAATTCGGTGTACGTCGCCCTAAACCCACACTCCACGTAAACTCCGAGCATCGACACACCGCATCCGAGGGGCACTGTATGGAGCGCCTTGCCTGGATCACTGAGCGCGTGCTCTTCCAGAGACATCCGCGGTGATTCAATCTGGAAGCAACCCGAAACATAACATCAATGACGGTATAACGATCTACCTCCATACAATATTTGCAAAGATAACGGGCAAAAGAAGACCGAAATAACGGTTAAAAAAGAACAGTCATAATTGGTCGTTCAAGTGACAATGAATAAAGAATTGTCACGCACCTCAAAGCTGGATTATGCAGCCCAAGACAAAAAAAAACACGATCTCTCCGATGAAATCCAGCTGCGTGAGAATTGGACGAAGGCCAGCCAGCGCCCGAAGTGCTGTGATTCCTGGCGAGATTTCAATGCAGACATTGGGTACCATGGGTGTCTCCCCCAAACACAGTTCTGAACACGAAAGCATTCAGCCCAAAAGGTCCTGCAGAAAGTTCTCATCATTGGCCAGCGCTTTGAGGGCGACCTCCTTCCGAGATATTGTTCGCATCATTTTCCATCATAGCAACAGCTGAACTTCTTCTTCCTGCTTCGATTGTTGCTGTTATTGTTGTGCGCAAAAATCCGATCAAGTGTATCCTGATTCTTGCCAGCACCAAAACTAACGACCACCTGCTCTACTCAACCTCCATCCCCCCGCCCCTACTACTACCAATAGCACTGCTGGCTGCTGCTGCCCCTCCTGCCTCCACCTCCTGCTGCTACTGCTGCCGCTGCTGGAATGACTGCTGCTGGTGCTTCTGATGTTGGTGTGTTTGTTGTTGTTGACTGCTGCTACTACTACTACTACTACTACTACCACCACTACTACCACTACCACCACCAC